AGAGAGAGAGAGAGAGAGAGAGAGAGAGAGAGAGAGAGAGAGAGAGAGAGATAGAGCGAGAGGGCAGTGGTTGAGGGGAAATGTCATATATGTGTATATGAGTGAAAATATTTATTCGAAGATTGAAGTTGCAAAAACTGGTCAATAATAATTGGACCAGAAACCAATTTTTTAGATCACATATAAAGAATGTCTATGTTTTACTGAAGTATTTAGACTCGGTCGGAGCGTTCTCTGCTTTGTATGTTTTCTATGTCGCTATAAAGCAGGACTACTCCATGCCAACACAATAAGGTTACATAGCCACTTACACATATTTTCGCCTACACCTTCGGTTTCAATGACGAACGCTCTCTAATAACATCTAACATCTCAAACTGCCATTATGTTGCAATTCAAGTACGTAAACTTATAAATAAACTCGTCGTAAGCTCTTCCTCCGTCGCCGACGCCGTAGCATACGGACTGGCACTGATCTCTTGTGCTAATATAGGAAATGCGGAGCGTTGAATACGTCCCTCTCTTTGAGACGACATAATCGCGCCCGTGTTCATCTGCGGTGAACATCTAGCGACATTGTAGTGATGCCAACTAGCGCTATCGTTACTCGCCGAGTATTTCATGCCCTACTCGCCGCATATTTCATGTATGCTCGCCGAGTACTCACTCGTCGTGTGTTGCGTGCGCATTCGCCGAGTATTTCATGCCCTACTCGCCGCATATTTCATGTATGCTCGCCGAGTACTCACTCGTCGTGTGTTGCGTGCGCATTCGCCGAGTATTTCATGCCCTACTCGCCGCATATTTCATGTATGCTCGCCGAGTACTCCTTCGTCGTGTGTTGCGTGCGCATTCGCCGAGTATTTCATGCCTACTCGCCGCGTATTTATGCGTATTCGCCGCGTACTTCAGGCTTAACCGTCACGTGTTGCATACATACTCGTCACTTAATGCATGTGTACATGCCGCGTATTTCATGCGTATATATTCGTCGCGTAAATACTATCTATACGACGCATATAACAATCTCTGTATAATGTATAATGCCCGGGCGGTGCACGGGCACGGACGCACACACGCTAACAAGTATTAGATTTATATTCACCCTGTAGAACATTGCACGTGTAACCCACATTATAGTGAAAGAAACACGAGATTGTTGTCTCTGTGTGTAGGAGCGATGTCGACGTTACACGCTGTTACATCAACGACGCATCGCCGCGGTCAATGTCGATTGTATTAGACTCAGAGATTCACATCATCATCGTGATGGCAATGCGAATCATCGCGCGCTCGTGCCCTTATGAACTTCTGTCATTGCTGACACCGCTCGCCACCGCTCCGACGGCACCTGCCCAGCCGCCGCCCAGCCGTCCGGGAGAGGAACAACTCTTCACTCCATCACGTCTGCTCTATTTCGTCAGCAGAATGTATGTACGTATATGATTATTATCGTTGTTGGAATCGCATTTGCATATATACATATACATCGTTCCGCCGTGAGTGCGTGCGTGCGTAGCGGCAAGCGGGCGGCAGCGGGCGGGGAAGCGGCGAGGCGTGACATCTGCTTGTTTACGGAGTCTCCGCTGCCGCCGCCAAGATCGCGAATTACTCGCCGAGCGAGCGGTAACAATAGCTTCTGGGGCATTACTTATGGCCAAGTGGGCTAGCGTGATATGATCTTACCCCCGTACCTTACTGCACCGCGCAGAGGTGTGTGCGGAAGTGAAGACCGGGGTTGGCGTTGCATGGGGGCGATATGACATCCACCTCCGCCCGCCATCGCGACCTTAGCTTATAAATGCATGGCAATGTCGTCTGCAGCATCTACATTGCCACCTGGAGGCGAGTCGAGCGTTTCGAGTTTTCCGTGCGTCAGTAAAGCGTGGGTCACCTGTGCTTAACGTGTAAAAAAGGGGCTGATGCTACAAGGAATATAGGCGAGGAATCGCACAGTCAAACGTACGTATACTGCATGTCGTCACGTTGCTGTAGTTGATGCGCGATTTTTAATTGCGTGGAGAGCGGGGAGCTCTTTTAGATTATAAATTAATATTATAAAATATAATCAGGCGTCGGTAATAGATTCTATCGTCAGCCGTAGAAAATAATGACAAATTTGTAGTACCTATATGTACCGTTATTGCATTGAACGTGATAGGATAACTATGATAGCGACAGAATCTACTACTATACTATTTCAGAGTTGTAATTCTGGTGAGAATAATGCGTGTAGTTTTAATACGATGTCATCGTCGTCGTCGTTATAACCGAGCCACTTGCTCTATTTTGGCTTATCCGTAACCATATGCACTCAATGCGTTTGCATCTGCTGAGAGTATTACCTCCGCTTACTTTCAGCGCGTCAAGCATGAAGCTTAAATCGAAGATATACGAATTGCATTTTCGGATCGTTGCCGGGCAGTCATCGCGTAGATATAGTCACATCTCATGTGTTTTTATCTCTCAGTCAGATGTTATATATACTTACTTACTGACACATCTGAACATTTTCAGTATCGAGGATAACGACACAGAAGATAATGAAGACGATAGCTTTCATATGTTTGCTGGTAAGTCAACCCCATGAATTAGACAACATTTTCGGAATTGAATATTAGTCTAGGCCCTAGACGATCCTTTGTAATGAATGTAGTATTACTTGAACAACAACTTAATAGGGAATTTGTCATTTCTCGGATAACCACTTTAATATAATATTACTTAGGTGCATCATAAAACCCCACTTAATATTACATTATCCATACAACCCATTGTATAGCAATCATTACTTAGACAACCCCTCAAGCCGGTTATGTGTTTTTACTCCGCTAACACCTTCACGAAGCGTATATTCTGAGCGCTTCCATCGCGGTCGTCCTTGGGGCAAGGCACCTTAAATTGTGATAATTACCCAACCTACGCGTGCTGACCTGTTCAACAGTTAACGCTGCATAAGAAGATCAGCCAGGTTTCCCCTGAAGTGACTCTCATGCAACAAAAGGAGATTCACAAGGAACACGTGTTGTTAACTAGATGTCTGTGGAGCGGCGTATTCATGAGAACTAGCTGATGAATATAATTAGGCAGCAAAAACTGCGTGTGTAACTTCGCGATATTCGGCTTAGCTAGCTTTCTGTCTCGTTTGACAGCTTGCCTGACACATGCGGAAGGTCAGTATTGACAAAGTTGCATCTATAATTATATATGAGAGACAATGGGTCGCTTTGTTCCAATGCGCTTCTTCAAACCAAAATCCAATACTACAAAAAATACTTAACTTCTAAGAACAGAATATCTTATCTATGTTTCAATATATTGAGTTTCGAACTTGTAAAATAACATGATATATACTGTTTTACTGCTTATCTCCAGTCGGAATGTGTGACTAACCATTGCAATGTGGTGTATGAGATAGTAATGCTCGGTGGCAAAAGGCACGTACAAGCAGTTACATAGCGAATAATGGTAATTTTGGATTTATATAAATTTTGAATTTTAATTATGGATATAACAGTTCATCATACATTGTCTAGAAATGACAAAATCTTTAATATGTTGCATAAAATGAAAACTTATGTTGTTGAGCAAATTTAAAATTGAGATAGACACCAAGAATGTAGATTTTTCTGTGGGAACCTTTTGTTATATTTTAAAATCGGGTAATGTTGATAATAACCGAAACTAGTTGCTGTGTTTTTATCTTGATATTGTTCAGGGTTTTGCCACTGACCAAGATTTTTCCATTGACGATGGGTTTTCTATTAACCAGGGATTTTCTATTGACCATGCAGGGGTTTTCCATTGACCAGGGGCTTTCTATTGACCAAGGTTTTTCTATTGACCAAGGGTTTTCCATTTACTAGGATTTTTTTATTGATCAAGGATTTGCTATTAAGCAGGGTTATGCCACTGATCCGAGTTATTTCGATGACCAACGGTTTGTCATTTCCCAGGGTTTATCAGGGAAAGTTTAACAAGCGAGCAAACGTTTGACCAGCAATCACTTCTCATAGACTGCAAATAACGACGAGAAACCGACCGGTAACCTCAACCTTGCATTGCATGTAAATAATAACAGAAGCATTCGTTATTACCTACGAATCACGGTGAAGGCAGAGAGAAATCCACACAGCGTGTACGCGCGTTTTCCATCTGTCGCGGGCCCTGGGCCAACGTGCGAGCCTGGGCCACAGTTGGCAGGAAATCATGCTTGTTAAGCCGCGGTTACTGTAATGTTTTTGACAGGTTACGGTGGCGCGGAAAACCACCGTTGTTCTTCTCTCGCCTCTATGATTTCAGGTTAACCCACATGTTTACGAGAATAGAACAGGTTAGCGTGACGTAGACTGATTTCGATAACTGGGACACGAACGAGAAGCACGCAAGAGTTGTTCTTATCTCTATTATAATGCTTATATAATCAGGGTCATACATCTGGGCGACCTGCGGTCGCAATGGCGACTTCCTTCTGCCCTAAAGAAATATAATGTTCTACTCACAAAGATAAAATAGATTAACATCGTCCATCGTCAATAGCACTAGAGTTCATAGTGATTTATAGCGGCCATGAAATCATCGACACGAACAGTGTCGATTCGTATTTGAGCGCATTCGTGCGTGCGTGCGTGCGTGCGTGCGTGCGTGCGTGCGTGCATGCCTGCGTGCGTGTGTTTGTGCGTGCGTGCGTGCGTGCGTGCGTGCCTGTGTGCGTGTGCTCGTGCGTGCCTGCGTGTGTGCGCGCGTGACCGGGTGACTGTATGCATCAGTGCATATGGGCACACACGTCTATGATATTGTATCACGTCGTTAATGTCTTCATGTACGCGCACGCTTATATTTTGTTCTTTTTTTACAAAACGCATGTACGATGCTTACCCCGATACTAATCCTGATACATATATGTATCGTACCCTGAAAACCTGTTCAAATAAACTATAGTATCCATAGTTTCAAGTGCAAGAAAACGGAATGAACGGTGACGTAGTACTGTGACTTATTTGCGTGCGTGCGTGTGTGCGTGCGTGGGTGCGCGTGTGCGTACGCGAGTGCGTTTACGTGTGAGAGAACGAATGTTTATCGGCTCTAGAATACAACAAGGAAATTTAAGCGCGTCTGCCGCTAGAGCTGGCAAGCATTTCCGGTATGAGTCACGGTGCTGGTCTGTAATAGCCGTCCATGGACCCGCGACCGCAAACGAAATTTAGCCCGCGTGCGACACAAAGACCGCGTGACCAAATGATGTTTAATTTGTAAAAATAGCTATTGAGTGTTATCATGCGTCCCTTTGCGTACGTAGCAGGCAAAATAAGCTTTCTTGCACAGTCGCGCGTTTCTCGGTCAGGGCCGTAGGTGGGGTAGCTCGGACACATGGATGGTGGGAAGAGGGGATGACGGCTAGGTGGTGGGGAGATGAGACGACGGGTGGGAGGCAGGAGAGGAGGGAACAGCGAGAGCAGGGGACAGTTGGAAAAAGTGGGCAGTTGGGTGGTGGTAAAAAGAGAGGGCAGTTCGGTGGTGGTGAAAAGAGGGGACAGTTGGGTGGTGGTGAAAAGAGTGGGCAGTTGGGTGGTGGTGAAAAAAGGGGGCAGTTGGGTGATGGTTAAAAGAGGAGGCAGTTGGGTGGTGGTGAAATGAGTTGGCAGTTGGGTGGTGGTGAAAAGAGGGGGCAGTTGGGTGGTGGCGAAAAGAGGGGGCAGTTGGGTGGTGTTAAAAAGAAGAGACAGTTGGGTGGTGGTGAAAAGAGGGGGACAGCGGGAAGGCAGTGGCAGATCGGTAAATATGGAGAGGCAGGCGGGGCAGAGGCAGGATGAGGCAAATATGGAGAGGCAGGCGGAGGGGGCAGCGTGGAGGCAGAGGAAGGAGGGGGGGGGGCAGCGGAAAGACAGAGAGAGCATGATAAGGCCTTGTAGCTTGGGGAGGAGAGGACAGCCGTGGAAGAGAGAGGATGGGAAAACCTAGAGGTTGAAAACGTAGAGGGACAGTGTCGTGGTAGGTGTAGTATTTCTAGTATAAATACGGATGCGTGATACAAACAGTCGTGCGCGCACGTACGCACACACAGACAGACAAAGACACAGACAAGCAGACACGTGCGAACGCGCGCCTCATACACACTCATACCTGAAAACTCTTTGATGCAAGATAACGTGTGAAACTGGTTCTTAGTGACTCTGCCGGGGCGGTTAAGCCGACATCGTTACAAGTTTCGCGCGCGGTCAAGTTCGTTCTAGCGAGATCACTTCACACACGGAACAGCTCTTAGCTGCATTCTAACAGTTTTTGTCCTAGTTCGTGTTTGTGGTCTAATAGCTACATCCAATCTCTGCCGTCAATGAATCCGGCCACGATGCATGACGTATACCCGCAAAGTGGCACGTACGCATGCGCGATAGCTTTGCAGTAGGGCATGCGGTTATTTTCAACACGCGCTGTCACAAAATGATGAAAACCTCGATCAGCATCCGATGTCCGCCAGAAAACGATGGTTTATGACCGCCATTCATACCCACTACAGTTGACCTGGATCGCAGCGTTGCACGAGTTACCCCCGTATTTCCTATCCGATCACAGAGCAAGTGCAAATAACGTGGCAGACTAAATAGGATAGTTTGACAGCACCGCATTAAAACATTATCAAGTGATGTATGGGTCGCTCCATTCTAGAATCTAGTTCTTGAATTCTAGAAAAGTTGTGCTCCCGTCTTTTTTGAAGCACCGTATAGGTCTCTATACAATATTACCCGTATAATCGTGTTGTGTTCATATCTTCCAGTGAGTAATATTTGCACTGCATCATAAGAAATGCAGTCACACGCTGATCAAAGTGACCGATGCGACTGTGTATGTACGTGTGTATGTGTATGTGCTAAGACGGTAACAATGCCGTAGATGGCGGTGGCGTGTAGTGACTGCCACAAAGCAACGTCGCCGAATAGAATGTGTCAACATGACACGTATCAGACGCTACGAATAGTTACATCCCTCTGCGCATGCGCCCTGCAGCAGGACAACAACGATCGTTTCGCGTAAAAGTGCTCTCGTGTTTTCTTAAGAAACTAGTAAGTATTGAAAAGCGAAATGGGCCGTTGACTTTTTAGTTACGCTTCGCCACGTGAGCCAACAAACCGACTCCTCGTACATTCTCTAACTGACAATAACTACTCATGTGTCTAATTGCACTCAAAATATCAACTGATATAAATCGAGAGAGAATCGAGCCCCTTCTTTTGTAATGCTACATTAAACCATGCTGCCTGCGGGCAGCTAGCACTGGAAGAGGCGCAAGATTTCCTCTCGGCAAGATTCGTTTCTAATCCCTCTTAAATCATTTCCTCTATTTGCGTCCCAGCGCCGCGTGTTACGCAATAGAAAATTGAAACACTGACACAGATTATGATTCGTCTGCGTTGAAATTTATGACCGTACGTCACGGTGACGTTACGCTGCCGCTGCCGTACACTATCCGCTGCTGCTATCGCGTCCGTCCCGTTTAATCGTGCGCTGTAACGGCCACGACCACACACAATACAACATAACATACAATACAACACTAGGAAGTCGCTCTACGACGGTCGAAGTAGGAAATGTAAGCACAGGTGCTCGAACCGCTCACACACACACGCACACACACACACACACGCACACACGCACACGCGCACGCACGCGAGCACGCGCGCACACACACACACACACACACACACACACACACACACACACACACACACAAACACCACACACGCGCGCGCGCGCGTCGGTGGTGGTGCTGTTGTTGTTGTTGTTGCTGTTGTTGTTGTTGGTGGTGGTGGTGGTGGTGGTGGTGGTGTTGGTGCTGCTGCTGCTGCTGCTACTGCTGCTGCTGTTGCTGTTACTCGCTTTCTCTCTTCTCTCTCTCTCTCTCTCCCTCTCCCTCCCCCTCTCTCTCTCTCTCTCTTGCTCTTTTTTTCTCTTTCTCTTTTTCTCTCTCTCTCTCTCTCGCTCTCTCTCGGTTTTCCACTGCCGCTATCTCTCTCTTCCGGATCTGCCGTGCCCTCCGGGACCGCGCGCTGGCTCTTATAGCCGCTTCACTAACTTCTCTAGAGGGTTGGGTTAAGCAGGGCTACTCGCTCTCCGTCAGGAGTCACGCTAATACGTCGTGCGTGCCGCCGTGCCGACACTCACCGCTTATCCGTCCGCTCGCCGCGTGCCGATGACGTCATTATTTGACGGGGCGCACTTTCATCGAGCGAAGCGCCGGCTGGCATTGAGATGCATAAGTTCACCTGTTCCTGATTGTTTACCTGTCCGTTGATAGGTCACGGCGTATAATCATATTAAAGCATCTGCTCTAATACCATTGAGCGAATATCTTACTCGCAAATGAAAAGTACTCGTAAAGTTAAATTAATGCGATAATATTGATCAGGGCGTAAGTAGAAATAAGGTATAGACATTGTATGCGGGAATTTTATACGAAAAAAGTTTTTTTATACGAAAATAACGACATTATATATCTATATAATTGTAAATTAGCTTTATTACAATAATTGTTTCCGCCACCTAGCGGAGTGATTCAGCATCGCTACTAGTTCGGCTTGTCTAGCTATCGTTCACACAGAGCGACTGAAGCTAAAGCGATTACTAGTACTATCTACTACCTATACGAATATACCTGAGAATGATATATTACTAGTACAATATCGCGATCGCAATTGTGATGAGTGGATAAACGCGAAACCTTGTATTGATAGGATTTGTGCATTAGGGCAACTGCGTACATATGCTACACGCAAAACAGGGAACCGTAACCGAGAGTAAAAGCTGTGACACACTAACGCAATTGTAAATGCAGCAAGGCCATAAATAAATTACGACTGAGTAGCCCTCCTGACACAGCAACATGTCTATGATAAAGATTGAGAGTTATAGCGTGGCTATGGCACGAGGTTGTGTCAATCGCATGCAGTGACAGACAGCCATTTCGAGCCGCACGCGTTAACGAAGTTGTTGTGTTTTTTAAGTCACACTTAATCTTAAGGCTAACATTAAATGTCTTCCAGCGCACGTACACTCTCACACATATGACATGAGTGATGGCAGAGCGATGACGCTGCAGTAAACTTCATCACCACGCTATAACTACGACACGGATGTACACACATGAGGAGAATGTGCTTTATGAGATGTGATCAAGCACAGTGATTAGTTTTACATGTAAAGGCAAGCCTGGGTGACAGATCACGAATAATATTCCCTTCTATTCACGCTCACACCGATTCACAGGAAAAAAAAACAAATATGGCGGATTCTAACTTACAGCTACGACTTTACACGCAAGAATCAAAGCCGTTAAAGCTGTTCTTAGTTTTCCGTTTCTCTTTCATGTTCAACTTTCTGTGTAATGCACTCTGTAATCTTAAGAATGAGTCGAATCACACGCTTACAGGACGCGAACACGTGACCCGTGTTTTAATCACCAAAAGTTTCTAATTAGTAAAACTTGCGTGCGCGTATTTTTGTGTTGAGAGCGTCTTCTTGTTATGCTAAACAAAACGCGTAGATTTTAATTAACGACTCATATATCTAGCTAGCCTGACGACCTAGTCGTAAAGGTTTCGTATGTTCCGGGTTAAACTATTGCTATCTTTTCCTCACATATGCCTCGCGGCAATACGTTTTGTTATTTTCGGCAAGCGTTTTCGTTGTGTCAGAACCCGAGATAGAAAATAGCTCTCACCTAGACAGAGCATGCATTGAAATGGCGACTGCAGCCGTAAGCGGTCACTGATCGTGACTACTGATAAGTTCTGTAATCCCTCGATACTTTCACACGTCTGCGTTCCACGTGGCGGAAATGTCTTTTTCGCAGTTTTAGGTCGAATTTGGCGATGAGAGCGGTTTGCTGAACGCCCGTTTTATTCCCATTTTGTAGTATAATTGTGTATTATAATGGATCAAGCATCCGTGAGGATAGTGACAAACGCAAAGGCGACAACAAGACTGTTAGTGGGTGCGTCACGCGTGAGCCGTGAGCTCACTTATCGTGAGTTCACGCATGAGCCGTGAGCCCACGCCACGAAAGATCCGAAATTAAACGTGTGACAATTTTTATGTTAATCTATATGGCCGTCTTGTATCTCTAGATATCCACGAGTGAAGGGAAATATTATTACTACTTTAAAAATACTACTCGATGTCATTAACAGATTAATGAAATTAACCGTAAAAAGAAAAAATAACAAATCAGTTCCACAGAGGTATCACGCGAACGGTGTTACAAATTCCAAGATACGGGGCAATCAAAAAAATTACATTACAATTTAAAGGTGCATTCAAAATTGTGGAGTGAGTATCATTGACATCATCGAATCGATTATTAATGATAAATACACGCCGGCGGAATCCATTGTAGTTAGACGTCGTGGCGCTATCGCTACCCCAAACTGCGGTTTCTTCTCTAGGCGTACATGACAGCGGCACAGAAGGCGCCACCCGTACCTGTCTCCCGCGGGGTGGCAGTACAAGAGCTTCCAGTACAGGAAGTACCCCAAGTGCAACCCGGAAGTCTGTTCGTGCGACAGACGGATGGAGGGATCTCCACCCTTGATTTCCAGGAGCTAGCTCGCAACCAGGCCCTTCCGGTATGAACAACGTGTATGAACAAGTGTATGAACAAGTGTATGAACAACAGTATGAACAACGTGTATGAACAACAGTATGAACAACGTGTATGAACAACAGTATGAACAAGTGCATGAACAACAGTATGAACAACGTGTATGAACAACGGTATGAACAACGTGTATGAACAACAATATGAACAACGTGTATGAACAAGTGTATGAACAACGGTATAAACAAGTGTATGAACAACGTGTATGAACAACGTGTATGAACAACAGTATGAACAACAGTATGAACAAGTGGATGAACAACAGTATTAACAACGTGTATGAACAACGGTATGAACAAGTGTATGAACAACGGTATGAATAACGGTATGAACAAGTATATAAACAACGGTATGGACAAGTGAATGAACAAGTGTATGAACCAGTGTATGAACAAGACTTAGTGGACGTATAGACTGGTATCTGCCTGTGAGCAATATAGTAGAATATAGGCTCAGAAAATCACATCACTGCCCGGACACACTGATGTGAAAAGAACCGTGTAGTTGTTTACCAATTTGAATTATTATATTTAATATTATTTTATATATATGTATTTTTTAACCGGCTTACGGATGTTAATTGCACACTGAACCTACTTTAGTTATGAATCTATGCTAATCGCGTGTATCTCTACATGTTTCCAGCGCGGTTCCAATGCTAGGGATCGCTTCGAGACATCCCGCCGCACGTTTCAAGGAGTTGCGTCGGGAACCATCAACGCTGGTGCTAGTTCAGATGCTGCCAGGGCCGGGGGTGGGTTCAGAGAGCAGGGAGGTGCGAGGGCCGGGGAAGAGAGGGGTGGTGCGAGAGCAGAGGGTGGGTTCAGAGAGAGGGGTGGTGCGAGGGCAGAGGGTGGGTTCAGAGAGAGGGGTGGTGCGAAGATTGAGGGAGGGTTTAGAGAGAGGGGTGGTGCGAGGGCAGAGGGTGGGTTCAGAGAGAGGGGTGGTGCGAAGATTGAGGGAGGGTTTAGAGAGAGGGGTGGTGCGAGGGCAGAGGGTGGGTTCAGAGAGGTGGGCGGAAGAGGGCGTGGTCGCTTCCTGGTTCAGCCGGAAGATGAGAGCCGTCCCGTGCCGCTGCGAGCCCTGTCAGAGGATGACGTCGTCGCTGGATTCTCCATCTCCTCGTCAGGTGAGCCAATCAGGGCAGGTCAGGTGCGTCAGGTGAGCGAAGCCACCGGCCGATCTCATTCTCACGCACGCACGCACGCACGCACGCAGGAGCGACGCACGCACGTTATATATATATAATATATATAACAGCAATTAAGTTATATTTGATAGTAATAATAAAAATAATAATAATAATAATAACAATAATAATAATATTAATGCGCATAAAAATTATAGATAGTCGCTTGTCGGTAAAGAGAGAACCGCGCGTATAGCATCGCTACGTGATTTCCTTCTGCCGCTGACCAAAAACGCGTGTTATTCAGTTGCGTAGCTACACTCGCGTCTGTCTATACTACGACTGTCGTGTTCTGCTATAGTTAAGAAGGATCAGTCAAATCTGCAAGACTTCAATCCCTACACAACGCGACAGCCACGCCCTCTACCGAAACATAGGCCGCAACCGCCAACCGCAGCGACACGTAAGACGCCTAATCATGGAAAAGCGAAGAAGATCGCTATTGCACAGACACTAGCCAATCGGGGTAGAGATCCAGTGCTGTTTCCTCAGCCGGATCCCGCCAATGAGATCCTAGGTATTTATTTATTTAATTATGGTATGATTTTTTTCAACGTCGGTGTTTGGCTGCAGTATATCGCCTCCTCCCTCTCTCTTTCTTTCTCTCTTTCTTTCTCTCTCTTTCTCTCTCTCTCTCTCTCTCTCTCTCTCTCTCTCTCGCGCTCTCTCTTTTCTCTCTTTCTCTCTTTCTCTCTCTTTCTCTTTTTCTCTCTCTCTTTCTTTCTTTCTCTCTCTCTCTTTTTCTTTCTTTATCTCTCCCGTCTCTCTAGGTCCGTCTGCCTCTCGTTCTCGCTCTCTTTGTTTCCCTCTCTTTATCGCGCGTATTCAATCTTTTGCTATCTCTGCCTCTGCGTGCGAACGTTTAACAACACACTTGTTCTACTCCGTATAGACGTCGCTGTCGAATGCGACATGGAGAGAAACCGCATGAGCGTGACCTTGACCTTCGAACGCGACTTCGCCGGACTCATCTACACCAAGAACTCGTTCAAGGTCAACGGTTGCCGCAAGGTGGCGTCACCGTCGCGCTTCCAACGCTTCGATATAAACCTGGACACATGCGGGATGGATGAAAACCTATCGGTACGGCAAACACTTCTTTGCGGACCGCCGTAATATGGGTCAAGTCGTACTCCAAGTAATTTTATTCAGCTTGACGAAGACATCTTGACGAGCAGCTGCCGAAACTGTTTCCAACAGCTCAATTACATGGATTGATATTGAAACATCGTTAACCATTGTTTAACCTTGTTACGAACAGACGGACAACTTTGGCGGCACGGCGACATTTTCTAACACGGTGATCATCATGAACGAGCGAGAGTTGGGCGTTCTTGAGATGTGGGACAAGGCGTTCAGGGTCACGTGCGATTTCGCTGGAGAGCAACGAGAAAAAGCCGTCGACTTTGGATTGAAAATTCCGTACGTAAAATAATCGTTATAATCGATCATCTTGTGATAATCGATCATAATCGTCATAATCGATCACCAGCTGATAATCGATCATAATCAATATAATCGATCATGCGGTGTCGTTTCTCCGTGCAGTGAGCTGGGTGCCGAGGCTGTGCTGGGTGGCATGGACCTGCCGACGTGTCGTATGAAGGTCGTGAACGGTGACAACCCGATGGCTCCCGGAACCAACAACCTGTTACTCGGCGACATCGCCAGTCTTGTCGTATACATTCAGGACAGCAGTGAGTTACGTGCTAGCAACCCCCGTCCTGCAGCACTCGTGTCATATATCTCCAGTCATATATCATGCATCTCCAGTCATATATCATATATCTACAGTTATATATCATATATCTCCAGTCAAATATCATATATCTTCAGTTATATATCATATATCTCCAGTCAAATATTATATATCTCGAGACAATATCTGTACGAGTCAGATATCTGCTGGCAACCCGTGGGCCGTTGTCGAAAAAAAACACGAGATTATAACGAATGTTATGACTGAGATAATATTTGATGGTGTAATGAAACACATCGTGTCGGAAACACATCAGAACTTGTATTATATAGTACTGTATATATATAGTATTGTATTTATATAGCTGATGCGCCGAAAGCGTTCTTTCTCAGAAACATATCTGTTACAAGAATAACTACTTATGATGATTCTAAAACTCCCCCACTCGGAAAAAAACGATTTTTTTATTCCCAATTATGTGAGTTTCTCCATTTGTTTCTGGAAGGATATAATGCGGAAGTATCCACCTCCAGAGAGACCGCATCTTTCTCCGAAAGGGTTCGAACGTGCTCTCAACGACCTCTGGTGCTCATTTCTCTGCAGCTCACTTCGACATCTTTGTGTCGAATTGCTACGCGCACGACGGGATGGACATGGGTCGAATTGACCTCATCGATGAAGACGGATGTCCGACGCACCGGAAGTTGATTGGCTATCAGCAGCACACGACAGAGCTGCTCCCTGGTGACACGCTCGTCTACGCTTATCTAAAGAGCTTCAAGTTCCCGGATGTGAAGAATGTCTTCTTCGATTGCCAGTGTACGATCTGCATGGAGAACTGCTTCCAGGTAATGAGAGCTCTACTCTACTCTACTCTACTCTACTCTACTCTACTCTACTCTACTCTACTCTACTCTACTCTACTCTACTCTACTCTACTCTACTCTACTCTACTCTACTCTACTCTACTCTACTCTACTCTACTCTACTCTCTCTACTCTACTTTCTCTACTCTACTCTACTCTACTCTACTCTACTCTACTCTACTCTACTCTACTCTACTCTACTCTACTCTACTCTACTCTACTCTACTCTACTCTACTCTACTCTACTCTACTCTACTATACTACAGAAAGCTGCGGTGTGAATTATTCTATGCGCTAATTCTTTAATTTATATATCTTATTTCCACCACAACATTGAGTTTCTGTCAATATTACATCAGCCTCAATGCGACGGCAGAAGAACTAAGAGAGATTTAGAGCAGGACGGCGGGAGTCACGTGGCTGCCAACAGCAGAACATTCCAGTCCATCAGGATTAGTCTGCCCGAAGATATTAACTTCAACGTCACACGATCGAGTAAGTACTATTATTCGGAATGAGCACTTGCCATGCGAAAAGTTGTGAGTTTGTGTATTTCGTGCATGAACATCCATTGAATCGAAAACATTCACGAAATAAAAATGGCAACAGTCAATACAGAATGTATATATTAATTCACTTTCGTAGGCAATATGTTTATGATGATACGCACTGACATTACGACAACAACGTCGGGTTGATAAGTACGAAATAAAATATAAATTACGTGATAATAATCTAGAAAACTGCTCGTCATGTCGCACAGGTCACCACCAGATGGCGTCGGAGGAGGAGAAGCAGACGGCGATGTGTATCTCTAAGACAGGATTTGGCGTTGGCATGGCCGTCTTTCTCGCCGTGCTCGTAGTCATCGTCCTTGTCGCCTCTTTCTTCGGCTACCGCCACGTACACCTGCCCGCGAAGCTAGTGGCGTAATGCAATCTATGCTGGCATATATATATACCTGTAGGTGGTTTGCCCTAAACGGTCGTCATATGTATATAATATTGGGAGGCCACAGTGAACGAGCCACGTTGGGAAACGCTTATGTTTAATATGAGCTCGACTAAACAACTCTTGCTTATTGACTAAGCAAGGTGGGTGTACTAAAGGGCCACAGTTCTATTGGAAATTATCTGGGTAGCTAAGGCATGTACATATGTAATAGGGTGCCAATCAGCGTATACAATGCATTTAAAATGACTTGATACAATGGTTTTCACTCCTAAATAATCGCCTATGCAACTTACTGCAGGTGACCACTAACGCCACATTTTTCATTATTATATTAACTCTTCTTTATATTGCTGACGAGCGAAATTACTTGACCACATAATACAAGGATTGCATAATGCAAATCATCAAATAATGTAAGCGATCAAATGATCAAAGTAATCAAATTTCAAAAGAGTCCTAGTTGAAAGCTGATCTACTGAAGGCTGCCGTTGTATTTATTTTAATTTATTGTATTCCTATTTCTTGAGTGGTTCGTTCCATAATCATTGTAAAAAATCATTGCGAGGATTAGTAGTCAAGCTTGTACAGGCAATGCAACTGCTCCTCGTTTCTCACTGTTGCACATTAGTGTCAACATCTATTCATAATATGGCTCCCCTACGTAGACACAACATTTGCGCACATATATATATATAGTCACATGCGCGAACTAACTGTGTGATAATAATTAACACATCAGTGTTTCATCTCTATTCCGCCACATCTACGCGTGATCTACGCAGTCGAAATCATATGCAATGTATGAAACTGTATAAACTCGTGATGGAAGCCTCTATAATATAAGAGATCATTCGTATAAGACATCGTTGCACTGCCGGACGCGCAGCGTTCGCTGTGATTGGTTATAACGCTCGCATCCATGTTGCATTTTACACATTTTGCTTTAGTTTAATCTCATTCTTATCCATCTGCGCCAACCTTGTGATCATGTTTGTTGTGACGCAGCTACGATTAGTTGTTAGTGTTTTTTGTATACTGTTACTAATAAACGATGGCCTACTATACAATAGCATTGTACTTCGCAAATGTTGCATATGTGCATCGTACACGCGGGGAAACGCACGCACACACGCACGCACGCACGCAGACATGCACGAACGCCGCACACACACACGCAGACATGCACGCACGCCGCACACACCCACGCACGCACGCATACACGCACGCACACAGGCGGCAAAGCATAGACGAAACTTCAGCTTACTAGAATTGTATGGTTACTCGAGTGTCAACTGCTTCCATAATATAAGTATGGGTACAAACGACGGTCATATATCCGGAGCAGTTCACACGATTTCCGACTCGTCTACAAACGGATAGGACTGCCGCAACATTGCTCATAAATTGCTTAGTGGCCCTAAGCGTCTTAATACAACTTTGCCTTCAACTTTGCTAATCAAAATAACCACATTGATAAAACAGTTTGTACCTTTGTATTTTTATTTCTATCAGTTCTGTTTCTTTTTTAATTTGCAATCAGTTTCATTTTCAATTTGTAATTTTGAGTCGATCAATATTTTTTTAACTAATTTGTCCCGTGTACATTACAGCCGTCCGAAAACCACAGATAACGTAAGGTGTGTCTATTTCCATCGCATTTCTTTTTATTTATGACACATACTATAGCAATAACTATAGTAATACCAATGACAGCATAGTCAAATTATACAATTGGCATAGTAAGGGAATGCCTATATACGCACAGCAAAGCAGTCACCCCAGAACAGGGGGCTACCCAAAATAAATACAGGAAGCGACTACGTATACGAAGCACAAACACTAAGTTTAAAATTCGCTTGATCTTATCAAATTGTTTTTTGAATTCGCCGTTTTCTCAAAAAATTTGATATCTTCATTAATTGTTGGCTGATCAATATCAGAAAATCAGCAATCGGGTATGTCCCTTCTATTGAGAACCAAAATGACGCTGCCTACCTACTTTCCATATATCAACTAACGATACGATCTTTAGTATGAATCAATACAAACAGAGGGTTAAAGATGAGGGTGTTACTGACTGGGGATGTGGGACCGTTGACCTTTGACACCCGCTGTCGACTCCACGCCCCTACTGTGATGACGTCACTGTAGTACCGCCACTGTTCTCAATTCTCTTGCTACTCACGATGATTATGACAAAGATATATATATATATATATATATATATATATATATATATATATATATTACTACTACTACTATATTACTTCTACTACTACCTAGTTACGTACGTACGTACGTAGTACGGTACGTTACGTTCTTAACTTAACTTACTTACTTACCTTACCTTACCTTACTAC